CATTGTTGAAGTGGCCTTTGTTTGAGTGCCTGAGTGGCCAGGTATGTCATAAACTAGGTCAATCCTTGAACAGCCTCTTTGCAGGAATCTGAGGTTGAAATTATGTGCGTGTGTCTATTCTGTATGCGTATATATATAATATACAAATGTTTAGCAATATTATGCGCAGCTTCCATTGGGACCAAGAGCATGACAGCTGCGAACGATTGTGATGAGGAATTGGTTGCGGTTAGATAACAATAATATGGTCCAAAAGGTTATTTTCACAGGGAGTGCATGGGGGGCCTTCACATGGGACCCTCTCATTCTTAACTGACTCTGGGGACACTCGTGATCTACTCTTTAACTACTCTTGGACTACTCTTATTAACTCTTAAACACTCTTAACTACTCTTGAGTACTCTTAACCTACTCTTTACTACTCTTGACTACTCTTAACATCTCTTAACCTACTCGTACAACTCTTAGCGATTTTCAGGTCACTCTTATCTACTCTTCACCACTCTTGAGCACTGTCGACCACTGAATTACTGAGATGGAGGAGGCTCAAGACGGGCCCCCTGCAGGGGCTGTTGCGAACCCTGGGGTGATAGAGTCGCTTTGGAAGAGTGAATGCTCTGTTATAAGTCCACCTCTTTCCTGCCATGGGCTCTGATCAACAATGCCAGTGGGTGGCAGTGGACCTTTGGTGGGTATCAAATGTGACATGTACTATGCACGTGGGGATGAGGAAACACGTAAACAAAGACACAAGGTCTCAAGGCAATCATTTTATAGTATCATTTGGTCCAATATTTTTGTTGGGTGGGTAGACGTGCTTCAATACTAAGAGTGGGTTAAGAGTGGCTAAGAGTGAGGGGGTCCCATGCCAGATTCCCTGCAAATAGCGATGAAAACCTAGGGTCCCCCCAGTAGCTACTCTTAGCCACTCTTAACCACTCTTGACTACTCTTAATGTAATGAAAACCTTAGAATTCAACACTTCATGGGTGCATATTGAATAATTTGACCGCAAACAAATATTTGTCAAAAAGTCATAATTGACTGGTCGCCAAACAGGTGTTATGTTGAAATTTAGGCAAAGGTAAATGACAAACGTTGCTAAAGGCAAACTGAGCCCCTTTGTCTGCTACAGTGTGAATGTTTTTTCGACCTACACTGGGTTGGACGGGCAATACGAAGTGGTCACTGCGCAGAAAACAAACCAATGCAACAGCAATCTTGAAGGGATCTTAAAGAAGAACCTTTGGAAAGAGTCTTGGCTGTATTCTCAAGAGTGAGGGTCTCCCATGGCAGGGGGTCCCATCAACCCTCCCTGATATTTTTGCAATGTAGAACCTCGCAGGAACTGCTGCTGTGAAGGAACATCATCATTGTCCAGATTCCAGATTGTATTATGTTCTGTCTGGATGTATCTAGAATTTCTTCATGATGTATATGGATTATTAGACTCAGGAATTCCCTCGCCGGGCATCGATGGTGGACAGTCATGAATTTGGCGCAAAAATATCTCGATCACCCGACTGAAGGCAACTGTTGCAGAGGATGACAACCTGCAAGCCGCTGCCGACATCGAGGCAAGTCTGTGGGATGCTGGCGGTGGTTGTATGATGCTGCTGCAACTTCCCTTTCAATACAATATAGTTATCTACCTAGGAAACATAAAGATGTTGAGAATTGTTGTTTGATCTTTTGTTTGCATGTCATTGCGTAGCTTAGATGCAAAAGAAAAGCGATTAAAAATGCATGGATTGGCCATTTGCGTTTTCAGTCTCGATGTTTTTTGGAGACATTTGTGCGAGCTGCGCTGTTGACAAGTAATCAATTTCAAGTCAAACTTGATGTTTTTGAGTATTGGAGGCAAACATCAACTTTTTTGTTGCAACTAGTACATCTATACTGCAAATATTCAATGGATCAAGAGGATACAGAGCACCTGAAACCAGGTGAAAACAAAGAACCAAACAAACCAAAACTATAGAGACAGGAGCCATGAGGGGCATGGTGGTTTCTTCAAAGATCCAGGTGTTTTTGTTCGTTTGAGGCTCTCATGGAGCCTTGCACGTGGCTCAGGCACCGGAGCCACGCGTGGCGGATCCCGACGCTCTGCCGGAGCAACGGGGAAGCGTCCAAAGCGCCCAGCCCATCGAGGCGGAGTCGGCGGACCCCAGTCGGATCGACGAGGCGGAGCAACCAGCGGAGGCGGAGGCACCAGCGGAGGCGGAGGCGGAGGCGCCAGTGGCTGACGCGGCTCGTTTGCATGAAGGCATGAAATCCATGCGTTTAGCATCGTTCATAAGTTGCCGGTGCTTGTAGATTCTTCAAGAAAGGCGTATGTATATAGCAACTTCTGTCAGGGATCTAGGTTCAGACACCTCTAGAAAATTCTAGAAAGACATGTGTGAAAAGCTCATTAATGTCCTGCAGCTGCAAACCAGTGTGCCAAGCCAAGTCACCTATGTTGTTGATGAGAAAGTTCAGCATATTTGCCGCAAAAGGTCCTTCCAAAGTGTGGGGTGACAAGGGACCTCGAGAAGCTTCAGGGGCCCAGCTTTCCAAGGTACTCACTGAGGAAGGCGGGCAGGGAGGGGCGCTGTTGAGAGAATTCAGAAGGGCTATCAGTTGAAATCCCACACTTGTGAGTCACTTTTGTATCCCTTGGATAGGTGTAACATGGTGTCACCACTCCAATCAGGCACTGTCAGTTGTCCAAAGTGCCTTGAAGTGCCTTGAAGTGCCCTGCATGCCTTGCACGGTGTGAGGTGATGCGGGCCCTTTGGTCACAGACCTTGTACCAACCTTTTCTGGCCCAGTTCTCCGAAAAGAGGTGCCGCGGGCACGCTGCCCCAAGGAGCAAGACCAAGCGAAAGACGTCGTGGTGTTTTTCTTTTGCACCATCGTGCTTGAAAACACTGAACACTGCAGTGTAAAACACTTTACGATATCCCAAACATATCCATATATATATATATCCTCAGTATTTGGTCCTGGGCTGGTTCAAGAACTTCGCGCGGTCGTCCCCGGAGGAAGCTGCGACGCCGGCGCCAAAGATTGCGCCGATGGCGCCGAGTGGTGCGCAGAAGACTGTGAGCCCAGTGGGCGGAAACTCCATCAGAAGTCCGGTGGCCTCAGTCTTAGCATGTTTTGGCTGACAGAATATGACAGCTGTGTTGAAGAAAATGGAGTTGATGGACCTCCAAACCCAGGTGTCCTTTTGTCTTTAAACTCACAAGAGTCCCTGGTTTTGCTCCGCTGGCAGATTGAGACAATCCCAAACCGGCGACCATCCAGACACCCAGGTGCAGATGCCAACACCAAGTGCACAAGCGAGCTGGACCGGGCCAGGCATAAATGAGCTGGATATGGCCAGACCATGACTTCGAAAGTGGGAAGTTTCGTAATGAATGAGCTTTTTGTTCCTAATTTAGCTGCGGGAGCCCACATTGCGAAGCTTTAAGGAAGCATTTCAATAGATAATTGGAATAGTGCAGGTTAAAGCTGTTGGTGTTTACGTTGGATTGGAGCCTAAACATAGGGAAACTTAGTAAATCTATAGATTGGTACCTGACCAGACCAACACCCTGTGATTTTGCGCCTCAATGGGCAGCGTCATTGAAACTGGCCAGGCTTCGGATCGCAAAGCCATCAAAGATACCCCGTCCAAGCCAGGCACTATGGCCATGGCCATCCTGCCGTTCCCCATCCAAGCCATCCAAGCCATCCGAGCCCAAGCCATCCCCATCCCTCTCAGCCTCCAAGCCATCGGGCTTATCCCTACAACCCAAACCAACAAGCTCAACCCAGCTATAACCGCCAGTCTTTTCCCTTTCGTTCAAATGTTCCAGAGCAGACGAGGTGCAGAGCTGCAGAGTGGGTGGGCGAAGGAATGCACGACATGATGCAATATGTATATGTGTGTAGAATACGTGTATATATATATATATTAACAGAGTTTTGGCAGTGCTTCTTCATAAAGTTTACATGCGTTGGAGACTGTCCAATGTTGTTTCTTAGATACAATTGCAAAAGACATGACTACTACCACCACAGGCTTGCTCCATGCATCCCCACATATCCCTACCATTCATGAGTGGGTCGAGCTCCATATGCCAGAGTTATATAGACGTAGATGCCTGGACGGCAGGCTCCACTGATCCGATATTAACCACTAAACAATACAACAAGGCCAAAGGAGAAGGAACCCTTGGAATGGCATCAGGAACTGTCAGGAACCCTCGAGGAGGAACTCGACCGGGTCGCAGAGGCCGAAAGCAAAGACCAAGATGCCGAAGCCGAAAGTGGAGTCGAGCGACAGTGAAGAAGCAGAACCCTGGCCATGTCATAGAGGGTCACTCCTGGAGGGAATAAATGGGCTAACCCAGCGCCATTCCAGCTTCCACTTGGGTGAGCTGTGTTGTTACAGAGGTGGTGTGCATGTTGCTTGGCTTTAGTCAGGCCAGTCAGAACACAGCTTTGAACTTGGAACCTTTTCCATCCATGATGTGGTTGCGGTGCATCTTTGGGGTTATATACTTCCATGCAGGACGGCAAAGTATGAAAGAACCCTGGCGACCTTCGGTCCTAAGTCCTGTTCCGCATGTATATGGGCTGAGGCCCTGTTTCATTTGGTGTTTCAGTGTTTCATAGTGCTTTCCCTACGTACGCTACGCTGAGGGCAGCCAGAATGAAACACCCAAGGCCCAAGACCCAAGGCTGGTTGCGGGCATCCCATTGGTCATGCACGGACGGTCAGGAGTTGTGATGACTTGATTCTGCAAAATGTTGCAAGTCTCCAATGTTGTATTTGCTTTTACGATTTATGCATATTTATGCTAGAGTCACATGAATGATGTGTCGATCAATATATGTTTGTCGGTCATTCTTGTTCACATGTACCTTCTTTGACCTTGTGACCTTTCACTTGCCCATTCTGAGCAGCCTAGGACCTCGGCCCCCGCGTGCGCAAAGCCATGAAGCAGTTTCCCAGCTACAGCGGAGAGATGCCACCTCCAGAGGTGCCGCTGCGAACCGGCCATTCCCAGAATATACAAAGGAAGAGTTTAATGCAACCGTAAGAATCACTGATAATCACTGGATTCTTCCATACCCTTTTCTTTCTCGATGGAGCATAATAATCTTGTAGAACTGAGTCCAATCTATCTCAAATTCACTGAGCTTGCGCAGGCTGAGTCCACCTGGTCAGATCAGGAGCAGCGATAGTTCTCTGAAGAATTTGCTCTTGGGGTCTGAAAATGGAAGACCTCTTTTGAACCGATGAGGTGTTCAATATGATCATGAGATGATGATCTTCTTAAAGTTGTGGGGACCTCATATTTGAGATTGGGTTCATTCTGTTGCTGACCCTCAGCAAATTGGTGCAGTGCTGGTTGTTCTGCGTGTTGCTTTTTCACGCAGGAGCTTTACAACTATTTCTTTTCCAGTGGCTTTATCAAGCCTAAGAAGAAGACCAGCAAGCCCAAGCCAACTCCGCAGCAGATGGAGCACTACTATTCAGTGCTGAATCTCAGGTGGGCCACGCCATACACAGCCAGTTTGCAGAGAATGATTTAAACTTTTGACATTTGCATGAAAACATAGTACCTAATGGTGCAAAAACTCGCCCAAGCAGTGGCCTAAGAAGCATGTGAGGCCCGGTGCAAAGGCAGCAGCCATCAAGAAGTCCTTTCGGCAGTTGGCTCTTCGCTTCCATCCCGATAAGAATCATGACAGCTGCTTGTCGAACTCAAAGACCTGCTCCTACTTAGCGGAAATCCGTCCAAAAACCATCGAATTTGCCCGACTGTCAGGGTTGACATGGAGTGGCCCCGAGAACTCAGAGCGATCAATAAGTATAGATCATCACACTCTCTGACTGTGTTGGAATTGTTTGGAAGGTTCTTCCTTTATTGTGTTTCCTCCCATAGCCCGAGGTTCGGAAGCCACCACAAAATTCCAAGAAATCACCGAGGCGCAACACGAAACTTGGGGAAACGTTATTGGGGCTGGAGGTCTGAGGGAGGGACGACATGATGCAAATCAGGCCTATGAAATCATTTGCCGAACATTAAAAAATAGAATATCCAATGAGAACGAAAAAATATGATCAATGTATATATATGGAATATGTTTATTTAAAAAAATATCTAATCTTCAAAATAATCATATATAATTTATTTAAAATATATGAACAAATATATTCCAAATATATTGTTGAGATATATTTAGAATGGAAAACATAATATATATATAACTTAATTAAAAAATATATATTAAATATATATATATATATTAGTTATTTATTTAATTAATAGAATCATTATTGATGTAATTATTCAATTAATACATTTGTTTGATTTAAATAGTTTTTTTGATGGGAATTATATTGCCGTGAATAGGTCCGTGGTTTAGCTAATTTAGGAAATGGATAGGGCACAATTGCACTTGTAAGGATATTTATACTTACGAATATGGAATTTCATTTTAAATTAGCGTATTTATGGGCTAAATTTATGATCCGACACATATTTTATATATGTTAATTATAATGAAGGTTATGGATTCATTAACCGCAAATGAAACGATACATGATTCGCATGTTGCTTCGTCCGTTGTGTAGGTACATGATTGAGGTTGAATAGCATGAATCTGCTCCTATAATTACTTTACTTCGAGTGATCCCCACTATGATATTTCAATCATTTGACTTGATGACATAGTGAGGAGCATGTTGCCATGGTCGTGAATGTTGTAGTTCTCGATTTTGCTTGTGGGTCCTCGAGTTGTGTGCTGCGGTTGTGTGTTGTGGTTGTGTGTTGTGTTTGTGATTGTGTGTTTGTGGTTGTGTATTTGTGATTGTGTGTTTGTGGATGTGTTTGCGGTTGTGCTTGTGGCTGTACGTTTGTGGCTGTGTCTTTGTGGTCGTGTTGTTGTGGTTGCGTGTTTGTGGTTGTGTGTTTGTGGTTGTGGTTGTGTGTTTGTGGTTGTGTGTTTGTGGTTGTGTTTGTAGTTGTGTGGTTGTGTTTGTGGTTGTGTGTTTATTGTTGTGTCTTTGTGGTTGTGTGTTTGTGGTTGTTATGTTTGTGGTTGTGTGTGTGGTTGTGTTTGTGGTTGTGTGTTGTGGTTGATTGTGTATTTGTGATTGTGTGTTTCTGGTTGTGTTTGTGGTTGTGTGTTTGTGATTGTGTGTTTGTGGTTGTGTCTTTGTGGTTGTGTTGTTGTGGTTGTGTGTTTGTGGTTGTGTGTTTGTGGTTGTGTTTGTGGTTGTGTGTCTATTGTTGTGTGATTGTGGGTGTGCGTTTGTTGTTATGTTTGTGGTTGTGTGTTTGTGGTTGTGTCTTTGTGGTTTTGTTGTTGTGGTTGTGTGTTTGTGGTTGAGTGTTTGTGGTTGTGTGTTTGTGGTTGTGTGTCGATTCTTGTGGTTGTGTTTGTGGTTGTGGGTTTGTAGTTATGTGTATGAATTTGAGGTTGTGTTTGGGTGCATATTACGATTGCGATTCGGAATTGATTAGTTAAAATTGATGAAATAGATTGGCGAGGAAGGAAGCAAGGCGGAAGGAAGGAAGATTTGGTAAATGGGAAATTATTGGGTCTTGTTAATTTCTTTATGAAGCAAGATTAAATTGATATTTGTCTAAGTATCTACAGAAGAATCGACCTGATTCTGCAATGGTAATGAATGATAAATTAATTATATTCGAAAACCCCCTAAATAATTTGTAATATATTGGATATACTTGCTATTGCCCGATTTGTCTTATATAAATTGGTCTTAAGATTCTTTATATATATATGCCAGGAAAAAACCATTAACATTTCTTTTTGCGTCCGATATTAAACCAGATATTCATTCATTATTTGAGTCATACGCCGTCCTTTGTATTAGAGCTTTATATTCGATGGTATGTAACATTAATCCGATTACGAACCATATATTGAAAATTATGTTTATTATTCTGAATCGCCTGGCTAAATTTAGGGTTAGGAGTGCTCACATATGGGGCAACTGCAATTAGTGGTGTGTTGCAATCTCCTGCAATGAAAAACATATAATTCTTGGGAATATGGCAAGCATAATGTGTGAGGGCAACTAAAAATTTGGTACGATCATAAAATAAGATTTATCGATCTTTCAAGGTATTCCAAGGATATTGATAAATATACAATATATCATGAATCCTAGTCAAGTGCAAGTATGAATCTGCGTGGACATAGCTTTGCCAATTAATCAGGACGGAGAAGACGGCGGCGAATCATACAAAGAACCGTATTTCTTTGGTTGGGGGAATACAGAGAACCGTATTTCTTTGGTTGGGTGAATACAGCATATACCAATTCCCGGCCTCCCATTAATTGGAGAATCGTCAACCAATCTCCTATAGCAATTTTATATCATACGGATTCTGTGAATTCCAATCCAACCATTTATCAAATTATAAACCATTGGATGCATTCCAGCAAAGCACTTTCAATGTATCGACGCATGAAGTCTGCTAATGCTCAAGTGTAATCTTTAACGAAGGTGCCTTGAGGTCCTTGGTTAAAATCAAAACCAATAAATAAACAATAAAAAACATAAAAATAATCAAAATATATAATACATAATTACCATAAACTAAAATAACATTTCCATATTATCTATATATATAATATATAATACAATATCATTCATTAAATTAATATTCATTTCATAACCTATATAATTAAATAAACAATAATAATTTCAAAAAAATATTTTAATATATATTTATCAATGTTAATTAAACAATATTATTTACGATCAATTTAAAATAATATATATGTCCAATGTTTCCAGACCTCGAAAATTCAATTCCAATTACCAAAAATTTACGATTATAACAATATATACATAAAAAATAATATAATATATATATATATTATATTTATATATTATTTAATTATATATATTTTTTTTTTTTCTTTAAATTTATATATTATTTATAAATATATTGATAATTATATTATATTATCTTTTTTATTTTTTTATATTATAATATATATAATTAAATATATATATATATTAATATATATATAATCGTCATTTATTAATAATATATAGTTATTTAAACACTATGAATTTAATTAATATATTTTGTTTTTAATGAACATATTTATTTCGTTTCGGTTGTCGAAAATAAACGTCGGCGATCCTATCAGGAATTTGATTTCCGAATTATATTAATTCTAATAACATTTCAAGGTCATCAGAATTACATAAATAAATTGAATTCTATATTAGATAAATTATTCTAATCCCAATGAATATCATTCTTAACGAGGCAAGCACAATCACCAGTGGAATCAGGTGAAGTAAATCCCAGTCCTCTGTTGCCTTTGAGCGTAGCTCACCAATGCGCTTCGATAGACCTGGAAATGCCAAGGGTCTAGGCAACTGCACAGCACTGCAAGCGTCCGTCCCGGAGTCAACCAAATCTATTATATGCTACTAGTAACAAGTGCCACGCTACTAGTAACAAGAACGCTACTAGGGGCTCCTGGCCTTACTACTAGGAGCAAAGGACGCTACTAGGAACAAGTGCATCGCTACTAGTAACAGGTGCCTTACTAGTAGTAACAAGTGCCACGCTACTAGTAACAGATTCTCTGCACTTTGGCCAATAGATCGACCATGCGGCCTTCCAAGTCCCTAACAGGAATCAACTCTTCAAGACCTGCCCCTGTTGGTGGGTTGTTCTGTGGCTTTGGGAGAGTCATCTTACAACAAAGGGTTGATACGTGTTCCGAAAACCTTCACCCAAAGGTTTATAAGCCATTGGCTTCAAGCAACTCCAAGCAAGCTTTACTCCCAGCTGTCCTTCTCTTCCCCAATCGAGTCTCGTCGGGGTCGGAAGGGGCTTCCCATGTAGTAAACTTAGTACGTAGGTGTCAAACCAGCCTGAGGTTGATTGAGACAATCATGCGACGATGTGTCGATTGATCCACGAAGCCCGGTTCAAAGCCCCAGCCTTCCATCTCACCGATCGCACTGCTCAGGGCCTTGGGCGCTGAAGAAACGCACGAGAAGGCGTTGGTGACGAATACAACGCCAAGAGAAGCATACCATCTATTTCATTCTAATTCAAAGGTTAACATGACATGGAGAGCTCCTCCCATCGCTCCTCTCGTCGCCCTCAGCGGCCTCCAAGGCCTCGCTGGTCGCTGAGCTGTTGAGCCGCTGCAACGCCAAACGCTTCCTGGGCAGTGGACCTTCCTGTAGCCCCCAGGAAGGGGAACCAGTGGACCCGGACTGGAAATGCATCCCAAAGCCGGGGGCAAAAAAGGTTGCTGGATCCCGCTGGTCGTGGGACTGTGAGACCATAAGACTGTGTTCCAACGTTTCTCATCCCTACACCAAACTAACTTCGCTCGCTTGGTTTGCCCAGCAGAACTTAACTTGGCCCAGCGGCATGGACATCTCAGATCGGCCAGTGGAGATGGATGTCAGAACGGCCTCTCAATGCAAGATCAAGACTGTTTATGGAGAACCCCTCTTGTGGAGACCAAGTCGAAGCCAAAGGCGCACGCCTTCAGATCTACAACATCCAGAGGACAAAGGATATGATCCAAAAAAGAAGGCCTTCCTATTATATGCTACTAGGAACAAGTGCATCGCTACTAGTAACAGGTGCCTTACTAGTAGTAACAAAAACGCTACTAGTAACAAGTGCCTTACTAGTAGTAACAAGAAGCTAGTAGAAACAAGTGCCTCGCTACTAGTAACAGGTGCCTTGCTACTAGTAACAAAAAGAATTCTTATGACATCTTATGCTCCAGAATTCGCACTCGCCCCGGCACCTGGATCTTCCTGTCCCAGGTCGCGAGAGCTTTGGCCATCTGTTCAACGAGAGAATTCGACATGTGGGCATGTCTGTGAAATCGATTCATCCGGGTTGCTGTATTTACTGCTTACTAGTAACAAGGAGCATTACTACAAGTATCAAGAAGCTGCTAGTAACAAGGTGCATTACTATTATTACTACTAGTATTAAGAAGCTGCTAGTAACAAGGTGCATCGCTACTAGTAACAAGGTGCAGGGTAGAGCATGGAAGTTTCACAGCAAACGGCACGTGCCAATGTCAAGGTTTTTCTTCCTAGCAATTATGAAGCTCTCTGCATCCAGATTCAAGGTGTACAGGTAGGGCTCTAAATAGATACTGTGCAACAAGGGCTATAAAACGACATGCTTGTCCATATTCACAATTGAGTGAAAATCGGCACTTGACAGGGGGAGTTGTGTCTTTGATTTGGGGCTTCAATAAACTTCAATATTGCGCCAAGCTGAGTACGTGGCATTATATTTGTAGCGGCAATGCCATCATCTATGTACTAAAGCCGAATTAATGAATGAATAACTGGTGCGTGCATGCCAGTGCAAAAGAAACACCAAAGACTCATTAAATCAGGTTCAACATGTTCAACTTGCCCCCAGGGGGACTATATATCTACAGAATCTACGTTACATACCAAATTCTCACAAAATCCTGTCTCACTGCGGCCAGGCAGGTCGCACAATCTTTGGCTCTTTCTCCATGTTAATGCCAGCTATCAGCTCGTTTGGTCACTGGATGTTCGAATCTCAAAGGCTGCCCTGGAGCAATTCAATTGACAGATTGGGTCGTCGGTTCAGAATGGCAGGTGCTTTTGATCCATGCCTCCACTGCATCGGTACTATCGGACTTGGGCGCTTCTTCAGCCTGCAAACGAAGGGGGTGGGAAAGCTGTCGAACACGAGTTCCTTGTTGGATTGATCCGCATTTGATGTCCTCAAAAGGCGAGGCAAAAAAGGATCTCTTAAACACACAACCTTTAAACGAATGCTTCTTGGAGGGGCCGCGGGGTGCCCCTTCTCCCACTGGATGGAAACACACATAAACAAAACACTCCGCAAATCGGCCATGTCATGAGCTGTGACATTGCAGCAATACAATGAAACAAAACCCTACCCTTTCAACATCTGGTGCCATCTGCCATGAAACAAGGAAGCAGTATCATGAAACACTTTAAGTCAACAAAACATTCCAACAAACACATACGCAATCCTGGCACAGCGGGAGGACTCGGACACGCCTCTTCTACAGCTGCCTTGGCAACGGTGGAGCAAGACGGGCTTCAGCATGGAGACCCACTGGTTGGATCAGTCTCATCTGGTGCGTCTTATGTTTCAAAAGTGGAAGACCGGGGACAACTCGCCATTCCGCGCTTCTATTTGAGCAATCGTCGGACGGAATTTGGGTCAAACGTGTAGAGGAACATCATCATTCCCCACGGATCCCCATGGACTGCAACGGCGCCTTGCCAGTGCAATTGTTCCCACTCAAAAAGCAAAAACAACTCCAACAGAAAAGCGCGTGCTTGCAGCATTCCAAACGACACATACCCATAGAGTACAAGAATGCAAAAAAACAGACAAAACAGCATGCTTTCACCCAAGGCTACAAACAACAGAGCGAAAAGAAGATCATGTTTTCGCTCCAAGCCTTGCAGTTTGTGAGGCGCAGCTTCACCTCACTCAGCAAGCTTTGAATGTAGCCTCAGTATGTGAAATGCGCTTTGTGGCTGACGGAAACGTTCCGACCATCTCCTCGGTGAAGAGCTTGGGGACAAGTGACCAAACATGGTGGTTGCATGGCTTTCTAATCACTTGGTTGTTCGGCGTCCTATTAGGGAATGATTTGCGGCATCTATCTATTACTTATCCATCATGTGTGGCATGCAGCTTCACTCTCTGAGCATTGGTTTGTGTACACGTGACATGTGCACGTGAAGTTTAGGCAGGCATCTACCAAGTGTTTAGCATGACAGGACCAGCCCTGGATTAACATTGAGCTGAACCGTTTATCTGAGCTTTTCTCAGCAGGTCCTGATTCATTCTGCAATGCATTTCTCATCCAAACGGAGAGTATGGGGGAGCACAACTCTATGGGGGAGCCACAACTCTAAAAAACAGCTCAGAAACTGATCAGCACAGAAACTGCACATGTTTGGCCCAAATGGGAGGTAAATTAAGCAAGTGCCAAAGACAAGAGACAGTCAAATGTGTTGGGAAGATAGGAACTTCACTGAGTAGCTGTAGTCACAACAAACACTCCCGACCTCTGAGTGATAAAAACAAGATCTTCACCAACCGAACCTCTGAAACATTCTAAAACTTCAGCTTCCTTCTCTACTTCACATCCGAAACGGGCCAAGGCGTCAAGCGTCAAGCTTCAGATTGACACTTCAACCTCGACCAGGCGTTCCGAAACAGCAAGGCTTGGAGCCACGGCATGCAGGTGTGGGGGCAAGAATGCTCCTAGTAGTAAGGCCAGGAGCCCCTAATAGCGTCCTTGCTCCTAGTAGCGATGCCCTTTGCTCCTAGTAGCTTCTTATTTCTAGTTTCGCTAGCTGTTCAGTGGACGCAACCCACCGAATCAGCGAAAGTGATGCACGAAGGCCTTTGAGTGACGCCTCCCACAGGAAAAAGGGTGGATCTTGATCTTGGTGATGAAACTGCGACGCCAACAAAGTGCGTCTCTTTCGGTGTTCTCAGGTCATAGACTTTGCATGTGCACCCCTGCACCCCATCACTGTTTTGATGCTTACTGACTGGCCTTGAGAGCTGTACGGGGCCGGGGGGGACACAAATGGGACTTCTCAGATTCTGGACCCTGAGACGACTTAGCAACGAAATACGCGCCACGTGGTTGCTGGGTTCTCTCAATTTAAAACACAAACACACACACACACACCTCCAGGCCGGCCTCTAGGCCACGATGTTACTCTCTGAATCCCAAGGATCAACATGACCATGCAGATTGTGCACATAGAAATTGCAAGAGAATGTGGATGGACCAGCAGTTTCGGGGCATGAGACTTCTCCCAATGTCACAGTGTTTGCAACATTCCCCATGTTCAACTGCGCAATGCGACGGTCGTCGCCCCAACGGTCGCTGGTAACCAGGTGGCTTTGTCAGTGCGGCCTCTGATCTCGCTTGCAGGGCCCGAAGATGGCAGTCATCAGCTTTGGCAGACTCCTCGAGGAGTTTAAGCCGAAGAAAGAAGCATGAGTCGGAGCCCAAGTAGTATGGATTTTGAGAAAGTAGCATGGTGATTGAAAGCATGGAGGCTGAAAAAACCCAAGTAGCTTGAGAAGGATTAGTTGGAATATTTCTCTGTCAGTCGACTTTTAGAGGATGCAATGTTCTTGAAAGCCCCACTGCTTCCTACAGTTCTGATAGCGAAGCCATTCAGCTTTTCAATCAAACATGTTGGAATTTGGCAATCAATCAAATGCATTGGAATTGATGACCCATGAGATTCCTCAGGGAGAAAAGGCCAATACATTTCACGTCTTTTCACACACACACAGTAGGAGCTAACCACCAGTCATGTTTTTCAAGGGCATGGATCCAAAAAACTCTGTCACTACACAACCAAGGTTGCTAAAGGTCAATGGGGCAAAACTAGGGCTAGACCTCACCTTTGACCGTTAAGGATTTGTCAACGAAGGTGGTCAAAAGGGGTATGTATGGCTCAAAGATAGTACCCCCAGATTCCCCAATCAACCAGTTCAAGAAAGTTGAAAGTGGAATGACAAATGGAGGAGGGAATGCCCCTCGTCGTTGGTCAAGTCGGGCTGCCCACCCCAAAAAGTGCTTTGCCGGCCCAGTTGCCAGCAACCGGGCCAACGGCTTGAAGTTCCTCACTGGACGAGTCATCCAGGAATTTCACTGGACATGTAAGTGCTGAGCAGTTCTTGGTGTTTTCAACAATAATCATATATAATATATAAATACTGACTATATGTATATAGCTGATTGATCCAACAACAATGATGTTTGAAACCGGTGCATATGCCCTAGTCATGACATTTTGGAAAGCAAACAAGGGCTCAAACGTGGGCATGCATGGATGACATGGCTTTCAGACTTGCGTGGTGCACAGCTCTCTATAAAATCATGCCTTCACCGAAGTGTGTACGTGCTATTGTAATTCCTCCGGTCATATGTCGTGCCTGAATCCAAACCCCGTGTTTCTTCTACATCCACTGTGGGTGGGTAGTCAACCCCCCAAAAAGACAATACTCGCACTCACCCAAATGGCCTAAATCCCGAAGTCTAAAGGCGCGGATGCCAAAAGGAAAATCAATGCATCGTTTAATCCACCTGAGAAACATGGCCATTGGCCTGAAACCTTCAAACGTGGCCATCTCTGACCGATCTTTCACGCACCTCATCCGGCATGAAAAAGCGGAATGGGAGTCCCTTCAGTTCCGTTGGTCGAACACGCTCGCTCTCTTTAAGCATCAGTCCAAGCGCTCCAACCCGAACGAATCCAATGGGCCATGGCTGACCTGACTGTTCCGTTCGTAGCGTTCTCTTGTTCCTAGTAGCGTCCTTGCTCCTAGTGGCGATGCCCTTTGCTCCTAGTAGCTCTTGTTCCTAGTAGCGATGCCAGGAGCGCCCCTAGTAGCGTTCTTGCTCCTAGTAGTAATGCCCTGCCCTGACTGTTCGCATAGTGGACATGGTGCACTTGCATCTCGTGAAGCTTCTGCTCAGCGCCTTTCAACTCTTTTCTCGACTCCTCAAGACGCATGGGCATCGACTCCTCGTCCTTTTCCCCTCGCGTGGAAAGTGATCTTCAAATGGGATAAGTCATGCGATGTGTACAGTAGTTGAACATGAAGCGTGGCTTTCTCATGCTCTCTCACACTTCATTGAAGGGCGAGACATCGAGGGAACTGATGTAACATATGTGGTGTCTAGTTTACTGTATATATCGAGTATATACAAAACCAATCATTCCCAAAAGTGTTCCACGAGGACCGCTGTGACAGTCTCCTCGCAGTTCGGTTTCACATGTCCAGCTCAACTTAAAAGCTGGCCACTGACAACAGCTCGCTGTCCTCTAGGTCAGCAGCATTCTGCTGTGCTGGCAGTGCTTCCTGGCTTGAATGAATATGGAAGACACAAAGATACAACTAGAAAAACATAGAAAAAGCAATGCAGAAACCTCTCCCAGCTTTTGCAATCCAAGCCCGGTCAAGTTCACGAGGACAACTCCAAAAACGTTGATCCGTTGAGAACGGCAGCATGGGTTCATGAGGTATAGTAGGATCCAACGGGATCTGTCTCATACAGGGCATGAACCAGGGATGAAGAACACATAATCATCACAAAGTGCTTCTTAGCCAAAACTTTGCTGGTCACAAGCTGAGATTCATACTTCTCCTGGGCCAAGGCGAGCCCCCCAAAAGCATTAATTAGCTCTCTTTACATGCACTTTGTGTATGTAGAGTATTGCAGAGTCTACTATTGCAGAGTCTAATAGTTTCTCTCAATGCCCTATGATCAGCCACCTATCTCCCAAAAATCAGCCGCCAAGTCTCCATCCGTGCATAACTCTCTACCCCTCTAACTTGACTCCTGGCATCGCATGAGCGATATTCTTTCTGACAGAGTTTGTTGCTAAACACCTCCTGTTCAGGAACAGCCACTCCTGATCAGCAACTCCTCTTCTAATAGAATCGATGTCCACATACCCCCTTAAGGGGTCAACTTGCCTTCCACGTCTGTACTGGCCAAGTCACTGCAGCTTTCTCCGCCTCCAACAGGATTGGCTCCAGTTCTCCCAGCTTCTGCCTGCAGTTTGCGAACGTCGCAGCACATGAGATGGCCCCTGACCACATCGTTGATGCATGCTGTTGCCATTCTTCTTGATTTCCCATTGATGTCCAGCGAGTCCCATCGTTGATGCGGAAAGCTGCTACCCTCAGTCCTTGCCTCTCTCGACTTTCGGTTCACATTTACTTCTGTCGGTTCCACATCGTGAGGCTGTGGATCCAACTATTGGAGACAAGTGGCGCGACCTCTTCTTTGGCCTTGCGCCCCTTCCTTGCTCAGTTGAGGACATGTTGTGGTGTGATTGCCAGGATCCAATTGCCATTGTATTACAGGACAAGTCTACCTACACTGCTGGGTATGCTACGGTAGGTGTTTAGTTGCTGAGTTTTCCATTGTGATCCATGAACATTCAAATGCATTCAATATCTTTTCACTGAAGCAGGGATGGGTCGTTGAATGTCTCTTTGATCACCGTTGGTCCAACAAGAAATCAGTCAAAACGGTTCCGGTCCCTCCGAACATGGCGAAGATTCGAACGCTGCTCCGCGACTGCGAACAGCTTTCGTTGGTTGGCCACTTCAGCTTGTACCTTGCGAAGAAGCAAGTGGTTTTACCTCTATTATCTCTATTGGTTTTATCAAGATACAGTGGATACATGTCAAAGTACTAGCGTAACATGGTCTGTTTGTGGGATTGCCCCAATTCTATCCATATGCCAAACAACGATGATGATGACGACGACCATCAAGCATACTGTTGATGGAGACCCACAAACTCTTGCACTAGTCACTAGGCTAAATGCATCCTCTTTCGTTGGCATCATCCACGCATCGAACATAGAAATGGCTTAGTTGGTGTTGAACTCAGCCCAACAAAACCAATTTCTGCCCAACACCACAGCCAGGGTGTTAGATGGTGTGGGAGTCCTACAGTGTAAGCCAGTTCACCACCATCCACGTGAGCACATGACATGATGTGTAGACTGCCAGACCAGCCTGGGTGTCGGGCATCAAAATGGAACCGGTGCAAATACACAGTGTCACATCCTGCCCTTATTGCCAGCTGTGTTTTATTGTGAAATCAGTCACTGAGGTAGTCAATTACTTGGACAACATTGTCGTTTGTGAACTGCTTCCATGTGACAACTAAATAATTCCACCTATAGCTGCTAGCTTCCCGCTACACCTACTTGGTTGTTACCCTGCACCCTACCCAAACAGATCCAACCAGTGGCCCTTCCAAAAAGGGTTTTTTAAAACACAAAGCACACCTTTCTCTCCACCTCAGCCCTCACGGCGCAAAATCCGGCTTTTGCGCCTGCATCAGCCGATGTTGCAGCTTCTCGAGGCCCACGGCCAGGTTCGGTGAGGCGGTCCTTGGGGCTGCGACCCGCCATTAGGTTGGAGGCCATCGCTCTTGGTAGCCTTGCTCCGTTCGTACCGATGCCCTTTGTTCCTAGCAGCGTCCTTGCTCCTAGTAGCGATGCCCTTTGTTCCTAGTAGCGTCCTTGCTCCTAGTAGTATGGCCAGAAGACCCTAGTAGCGTCCTTGCTCCTAATTCATCCAAAGAGGGGTTGACAAGTGATTTTTAGGGAACACATGATATAGATGCACATGTGGGTGATCGTGTTTCTGCATTGCAAGGATGCAAAGAAGCAAGCCTTACGATAAGCCCCCGAATGCTTCTTTGAACAAAGGACTTTTTAAAGGAATCATCAACAACACATGATGGTGGTGGAAAAGACAAGAACACCCTAAACCACGCCAACCACGTACTCTACGTATCTTCTCGGCTAACTCCGATATGACTTCGCCCAGGCGCTTGTTCCGGGCCTCGATCTGCCTGCAAGCAATGAGCTTCCTGGCCTGGAAGAGTGCGACGAGGATCCAATAATGACAGTCACAATTCTAAAGGCGGTTGATATCGGTTGCTGACATAAATTTAGATGTTATATAGTTCCTAAATCATAGAATTAACTGTTTTCTGTAAATACATTCCCACTTCTTGTCCATCATGCTTCTCCAAGTTTTGGCAACCCGACCCAAAGAATGAACATTTGTGGAGGAGCTGGCGCTTGGGGTAGATTCCTGGTAGATCCTCATTGCTGTCAAAATGTTGGCCGCATCATAATTTCTTCAAGTTCGTTTACTAGACTGTAACACACGCAAATTAACCTTTCGCTCGTTTTCTCTACCAGCAAGTCCACACAGCACATACAAAGTGAGAACACATACAAAGTCAGAACCCTGCCATGTCCTGCCATGAGAACACCAAAAACCACACCTCGGCCATAGAGTTGGTCACCTCTCGTTCGATCTTCAGGGACCTCAATCTGGCTGAGGTAAGAAATCACACGAACGGAGCGATCGGACGCTACGAACGGGGCGCTCCTGGCCTTACTATCAGGAACAAGAAGCTACTAGGAACAACGGGCATCATTACTAGAAGCAAGAATGCTACGAACATAGCTCCTTACCGGATCGCCGGCAAACTTCTCCTACCATAGTTATGCAAAACCCTCTCTACGTTTCCGGGGATGGGTCACCAATGGCATACTTGAAGGCGCTGTGTAAGACCACCAGGTCGGAACGAAAGACCATTCTTGTCTGAAGAACGAGGGCTGATATCTATTGATATCTACTTGCACATACTTCTAGGGATCTTTTTCTCTAAACTTTATATATTTTGGCTTTGATCATGTCAAACAACACATACAAAAACTCCAAAAATATCTTGATCATGGGTGACAGCCAATTCACCCAAACAAGACACTTGGATGAACACTTTGCTGGTCAGCAAAGTCGTGCCAATCAGCACACTCTACCCAAGTGGGAGAACCATAGAATCTACCATGGAACACATGGAACAACAGCTTGTTCAAGAACCATCAAACAAATATATATATATATACTTCTTCCCTTTAACCAAAGCCAAGTGGGTGGTACTGAAGGTTGCTCCCAAATTATGATTTCGTCGTTGTCCTTTCACCTTTCGGTGCACAGGCACAAGTATATATATATATAACAAGTTCTTTCAAAGAGCCAGTTTCGGCCTGATGACAGATTTGTGGAGCTCCACTGGGAGAAACATCTTCATGGGATCACAAGGTGGGCAGCCAATACAACAGCGGCCAATGGGGTCACAGCCAAGGACGCCCGGCTGCCCCACTCTCCAAGCCGAAGCTCTGCTCCGTGGCTTCCCGGAGCTCTGCCGGGCCAAGCTCCTCCTCTGACCATCGAGAGCCTGGGAGGAAAGGAGAGCAACATGGATCTGCAGGTGCAACAAAGCGGCAAGTCTACAAATTCCGAGAATGGCCGAACATGATGTTCGCAAGAGATGGAGTCTCTCACAAAAGATTCAAACACCTTGAACAACCGTGACATTCATCTACATGTGTATTTCTGTACATACAGCCGTAACCGACAGCTACAGCCAAGAAGAACATGTCAGTTATATATGTTATATGGCATGTACCCACACATCATTTTCAACCCAACACTCTCACCCAAACCAGAAAAGCCTAAACCCAAAACCCAACACCTGCGGATGATGCGGTTCTTTGGTGGTTTTCGGTCGTCCGAGGGGTTGGTCGGACCAGTAAACATATAGCCCACTAATGGTTTTTGGATAGCATACAAATTCTTGAAAAACACACGCTCACATGCAAGCACTAAAGAAGTTAGAGTCACCTCCAGTAGAAAGAATCTGGCTCATTTCCGGCACCATGAAATGCAATGAAATGATATCATTTATATTGAGACTATCACTTGATTTATCATATTCTATATGATTATATCTATGTACAATATATGCCCCAGGATTGCCTCTCTCCGTTGCTGCCGCTCGAACACCCATACCTACATTTCCTTCGTTTGCTTGCTGATTTCCCTCAACCTATGCTTCGCATTGGGGTCATAGTCAAAGTCAGGGTGGAAAAACGGCACTCAGTGAACAGAATTCAACAGGCAGCCTGAAACTGTCTGAAACCAAAGGGATTCACAGGGGGTCCACACACGGGGGTCTTCACATAGATATACATTAGATACAGTACTAAAGTACAAAGGCTCCACACCAGAAATGTCTCAACCTTGGCCGCCTTGACCCCGCCATCCTCGGCGACAAAGCACTGGATGCTTTCATCTCTTCTGCTCGATGCTCTACGGAGGCCACCGAATCGCCGGCCTGCTTGTGCTTGGCGATTTGTGGCTTATGCTTCTTGACAGGGAAGGCCACCGAAATGTAGTTTGTCATAGTTTGTCTATTCAAATGACACTGACATAATAGGATTTAGCGTCATGAGAACCGCTAGGCGTCAAGTCAGGATGCAAAACCGCATGTGCAGAGTGCTGTTTCAAGGAGTTGTCTGTTTCCACCGTTTCCATCCTCTGCTGCAGTGGCCTGCCTCCTTCAAAAAGGCGTTTGCGCGCAGTTCACTAATCCTTGGACAAAGTGTCCAGTTCATTCTTACTCACATGACAATTATACATTATACATCTTTCGTATCGGCACACCCTTTTCCAGCCACTAAAGACCACACTGGGATCATGACCAGACTTGAAATAGTGAGAAACTCCCATTGGATTTCACTCTTACCATCTCTTGCCTCTCACGTCTGCTATGTGTCACACTGACTCGGAAATGAAGAACACACACTCAAGAACAGTTCGTGGATTGATCTTCTTCTCCTCCCACTATATATTTCAAGTGACTATATATTTCAAAAGAAAAAAAATTGGGGGGTGGAAGATGGTATCCCTCTACCAGGCAGGCAGCGGTCTTCGTCTCTTGCGCCTTCCACGACCTACCACTGAATCCCTTGCAAATAAAGTACTGATTGCACAGCTTGGTGAAGCTCTCATTGCTCGTCTCCAATTGAGTTTCGTATTCCTTCGGTCAACTGAGGACAGCAACGTACTCGAGAAATGGTTCCCATCAAAATCCTAATCGTAGGCAGGTAGGCCTGGCCTTTTAAGTGACCAATGGACGGATTTACTTGTCAATATTTACTGTTGTGTGCACTATATGTAGTGGGCATGTTATTCTTAAAAACATGATTCTAATCCGCACATGCCACACTCTCCCATATGGGCAATGTACCAGAATAGCGGGACCCCGCAACCATTTATTCAAACAAAATATGAGGTTAATAATCTATGCCGAGTTTTACTTAAATGTGATAAAATTTTACAAAAGTTTGGCTCCTTTCAAAGCCACACCCAAAAAAAGTGGCAATTGGTTTTATAGACAGGGATGGTTTGTTTGGTCTTTTCACACATTTTACATATTTGAACCACGCGGTTAAAATGCGTGTGAGCAAACACCAAAAATACACTACCAATATAACCCCCACACTCTCATCCAACATCAGTTTCATACTACTGTAGTTTGATGAGATTGCGAGGGGGCAAGACTACCAACAAAAAGATGGAGCCCACGAACCCGAATGCAAACACGTTCGAAAAGCTACATTACATATGTCCAAATGACACTCTTGTAGGACACTCTTGTGGGACACTCTTCTGGGACACTCTTGCGGGACACTCTTGTAGGAAACTCTTGTGGGTCACTCTTGTAGGACACTCTTGTGGGTCACTCTTGTAGGACACTCTTGTGGAACACTCTTACAGGACACTCTTGTGGGACACTCTTGTGGGACACTCTTGTAGGACACTCTTGTGGGACACTCTTGTGGGTCACTCTTGTAGGAAGCTCTTGTGGGTCACTCTTGTAGGACACTCTTGTGGAACACTCTTACAGGACACTCTTGTGGGACACTCTTGTAGGACACTCTTGTGGGACACTCTTGTAGGACACTCTTGTGGGTCACTCTTGTAGGAAGCTCTTGCGGGTCACTCTTGTAGGAAACTCTTGTGGAACACTCTTACAGGAAACTCTTGTGGGACACTCTTACGGGACACTCTTGTAGGACACTCTTGTGGGACACTCTTATGGGACACTCTTGAAGGTCACTCTTATGGGACACTCTTGTCGGACACTCTTGTGGGACACTCTTGTGAGACACTCTTGTAGGACACTCTTGTGGGACACTCTTGTAGGAAACTCTTGTGGGATACTCTTGTAGGACACTCTTAACGGACACTCTTGTGAGACACTCTTGTAGGACACTCTTGTGGGTCACTCTTATGGGACACTCTTGTCGGACACTCTTGTAGGAAACTCTTGTGGGATACTCTTGTAGGACACTCTTAAGGGACACTCTTGTGGGACACTCTTGTGGGACACTGTTGCGGGACACTCTTGTGACACTCTTGTGGGACACTCTTGTGGGACACTCTTGTAGGAAACTCTTGTGGGATACGCTTGTGGGACACTCTTAAGGGACACTCTTGTGAGACACTCTTGTGGGACACTGTTGCGGGACACTCTTGGGACACTCTTGTGGGACACTCTTGTATCGCGCTCCCCAGTGGCACGGCGCCACGCAAACACACTTCCCACCCAGGTCGCGCAAATCCCAATGGCACTGCAACATCACGAACGTCGTGTCGCCACACGGTCTGCCCACACACTTGAAGCAAACATATCACATGATACCACAAATCATCGCGCTCACCAGCGACACGACGCGTTTACGCCAGCCTGTTTCGCGCTCCCCAGTGGCACGGCGCCACGCAAACGCACTTTCCACCAAGGCTGCACAAATCCCAATGGCACTGCAGCATCACGAACGTCGTGTCGCCACACGGTCTGCCCACACACTAGAAGTTTCGTTCGAGACTTCCTCCAAAAGTCATGCTTCGAGGCTGAAAGACGAGCGTTTCGTCTAAGACTTCCTCCAAAAGTCATGCGTCAAGTCTCCAAAACGAGCGTTTCGTCCTCAAAAAGTCACACGTCAAGTCTCCAAAACGAGCGTTTCGTACGAGACTTCCTCAAAAACTCACATGTCAAAGTCTGCAAAACGAGCGTTTCGTACGAGACTTCCTCCAAAAGTCAAGCGGAAACACCCATCGGAGCACACACATCACGCAGCCCTGCCAAGCAGTTTCGCGATTCCAGCCCCTCCAAACAACGCCCCGCTCACACGCCAATCCCAATGTGACAGCGACATTCACCTCTACCACAACTCACAACCTCACGATTCCCTGCGCCTGCCACGAATCTTCCGCGTCCACACGTCTAGCGCGCGCAAAGTGTATACTGCGCCTGCCACGAAATGTCACCTCCGTCACACCTCGCAACCTTACGATTCCCTGCGCCTGCCACGAAAATCGCACTTCCATACCTCAAAACCCGCACAAAGCACTGCGCCTGCCACGAAAAGTGACAATATAATCTCATGCGAGCTTCAACGAAATTTGCACCACACCACACGTTTGGAATGATTTCGGCCCGTTCTGAGCACACTCCCATCCACCAAGCTCGCGATTTCAGCTGAGACTTGTCACGAAAACAGAGCTTCGACGCAACACCCTGAAACGCAAATCCCAATGGCACGACCACATCCAACACCCCAAAAACACGACTACCAATGGAACTGCGTAGCAAACTGCGGATCTCACGAAACGCTGCGCCTGCGCAGTGAAATCATCCTCCACGATTCCTCGCTATTTCACACGAATCTGACACGTCACGTCTCCATCCGAAACCCTCTCCAAAAGCTTCCCCCAATGGCAGCGCCTTAGCGCTCTACTGCGAACGGTTGCGGACGGTTGCGAACGGTTGCGGACGGTTGCGAACGGTTGCGGACGGTTGCGGACGTAGAAACAACAGATCGCGAACAAGGCTCTACCCCCAGACCCCAGAGTTAAACGAGAACCCTTTGCTACGCATTCGGGAAAATATGATGTCGTTAGTATTTTTGCCTCTGTGGATTCTATTGTTGATTGTATTTAGGATTTTTCTATATACATAAATAAGTTCTTAGCAATAAATTCCTATAAGTTAATAAGAAACACACAGAATGACAGCAAGCCCCTGAATCGATTGTCTGCAATCTCTTACAAGGAAGGGTCTTTGTGGAATTATGGATGGACTGTCTACACCTATAAACCTAAGAACAAATCGCCATCATCTCATTTACCAACTGTCTTTGGTCATTTGTATCTTAAGGATTCTTAAGGTCATGTAAGAAAACATACGCCAAACGGCCAAACACTTATAGACTGTGGACTAAGAGTTACAGAGATGAAAGGATCGGTCCACAGCTACAACCCCTTTCAAAAACCTTTGTCACTTTAAGAGAACACATTTGCAGCGTTGTAAACGAGAAGTGACCAAGATTATCAACCAATATCATTAAAAATGGAAAGCAACACATTCGCGCCGCTACGCGGCTGGGTCCGCCCGCGTAGCGAAAGAAATGTCATAGAGACTCGGAATCCCCATGGTTTGGAAACCAGAAACAACATCCATGAAGGGCTATCTGCTGAACCCAGCTACAGTCTTTCACCTATATTGCTGTGTTGGTTGCTTTCCTAGTTTGCCGTGATATCAGCAGGGCAATGTACTCGTGTCCCACCATCCCGGCTCTACCTGGCTATGTTTTAAACTTGTTCAAGAATGCCTCAACATGTGCGTGTCCCAAAATCTTCATCAAATGTTTACAACGTTTTTTGTATTCGATTTTCAACAACCTTCAAAAACTCAAGTTTCTTGCCCGAAAAAATGCCCCATCCCCAGCTAAAGCTGAAATCTTGCGATTGACTATGCCATGCGGATATGTCCATAATATCCTCGAAAGCCTCAATGTAAGAATATATCTAGTCTATATATATATATGAACTGGTTAATATTTTTATAGTCAATGTTCTTACATTGAGTGGCCATATGGTATTGCTATTTTATGAAAAGAAATGTGGTATCTTAGAGAGATATATTATGGATGCTCTTTACGTTATCTTCATTCAAACGGTTCATCAGCTGTCTCTGTTTTTTTTTTTTTTTTTACCTTGTTACTTCCTGGAAGGGCTGTATCTGACGGTTCATATTTAAATTCGAAAAACGTTTTCTGTAATTATATACTAATTACTACTACTTGTTCTTAATGGCAGTAGCATTTATGGGTTATGTGGTACCTTTAGGACAAACAATTTATGGAGGTGCTACAGTAATTTTAAATTTGTTATCTCCATTTCCATCTTTTATAGAATGGCTTTGTGGAGGAGATTATGTTTATATTCTTACAATGAACAGCTTCGTCGTTTATTTGTGGGGATTTTACTTTATGATCTAACCCTTGAAGTGGAATAAGAAAAACTTACCTAAGGTGCATTCCATTGGTGATTTTATATTCCTTGCGTCATGAATTGAAAGCTTATGAATTTCTTGTTGGCAAAAGTTTTTGAACATTATTACTCAAGGAAATCCTCAAAGGGAAAAGAACATCACCGTTGATAAACAAAAAATCCTTAATCTTTGGTCAGTGTATTTTGGAGTGTCATCTTAGCAGGGTAAGAGCCAAGATGGGAGAAATGAAGAGCAAAAGGCGACCGAAGTGATTTCATCGGCTTTATCGTGAGGACTCTTCCACAGCCTATGCCACAGCGAAGAGACAAATGGTAGAATTAATGCTACTTTATCTTCTAGACTTGTTTTGAATAATAAACACAGTTGCATAAAAGGGTTTTAGCACATCTCTTCTTTTGCAAGGATGTCCAGAATACACCCATATTTGGCCACCGAGAAAAAAACACATAGAATATAAGTGGCATGGGCAACATCATGTGGCTGCTAGTAAATGGAAACATCAACGGAAACAATCCTGGGAAACCGCAGTTCTTGCGGTAGCTTCCCTGGCGCACCCTGTCCTGGAGGCGTTCAAGTCCTGAAATGGCAGCTTCCGTGACCATTCCTTGGGCCGATCTCAGCAGCCTTCAACTACTGCCAACAACAGCTCTGGCACGGCATGGAAATCTGTAACATGCGCCCCTGGCAAAGCTATCACTGCTCAGTGCTCAACCCACAAACCATCACATTCCTCCAAGTGCCCATGTTATTTCTTCCAATCTTGTCCATCAATCTAGAAATCCATCAGCCAAGTGTCGTTTCACGGTCACCGCCTTGGTCGAAACGAAGACTTTGGTTCCGGACAAGGCCTGCTGAAGCTTCACCTTTTGCTCTTCCCCAGCCTGGAAAACTCAAAAAAGGCCGTCTGATGTCGCTGGCAGGCAAAAGGAACGTGAGTGAGTCTACAGTGCTAGAGTTTCTGAGATTTGATCTGGGTAGCGGTTGCGTCGTCATGGGGTGATCAGAAGGCACTTCGAAGATCGTCCCGAGGAACAGAACACGAGAGCGAACGTCTTGGGCTTCGAACGTCCGAACGCAAGGATTGGTTTCCAGCTACCGGTGGAATGAAGAAATCCACGTAAACACGGTTCACGGGCGAAGCGTGACTGGATGCCACGGTGCCATAGCGAGGCATCTCACTGCTGAAATGCAGAACAAACTGCAGAACAGAAGTATTGGATTCATAAACAAACAGTGGTGCTGGATGTTTTAATATGTTCATCAACTGTCCTGTAGATGGTGTGCATCCCGAACACTCAACGACCATTCCCACCTTCACGACCAATAAGATGTCTTCTGCGCTGTCCGCTTCACGCAGTAAGTCCTTTCGGCCAACGGGAGCACCGATGAGCCTGTGTAGTCCGGTGCTAGGAACTTCGGGGTCGTTCGCTTCTTGTTACTAGTAGTGATGCCAGGAGCTCCGTTCGTAGCGTCCGATCGCTCCGTTCGTAGCGATGCCCTTCGTTACTAGTTACTAGTAGCTTCTGGTTACTAGTAGTAAGGCCAGGACCCCCAATTGTATAATTGGGAAAATGTACCAAGGCTTGACATGAGCCCTGCGGTTCTTGAGACGGAGCTGTATAGCAGCCATTTGTACAGGCTCAGACTTCCGAGGGTACAGGGATGGTGTTATGTATAACTATATCTTAAACAGCATAAATCATGCAACTAGGGTTCACGTGCTGTGAGCATGGCCTTAAGCTTCGTTCACACGCTTTGATCCCTCTTCTCCAACTGTTGCGCAATACACTAAAGGCTAAAGGCACGAAATCACCGCCACTCCAAAAGTGGATACCCAGGTTTGCGGAGTCCTGCATCTGCCGCAATCCGTCATTGATCACCTCAACAGCACTGCTCCACCGGAGAGACACAATGGAGGCCGGTGTCTGTGGGTATTTGGGCAAACTACGTCCTGTAGCTACTTGAGGCCGAGGGTGGGTGACGAAAGCTAGCAGGGGTGCATCCGGACTGGTGGGACATCAAGCGGAGTGAGGCAAATGCTCATGAGGTTAAACGTTGTGAACATGTAAGACACACAAACAGCAATGACACAGCCAACCTTAGAATTGAAGTCCCCGATAATTAAGGAAGCGTGGCTGGACTTTGCCACACTGTTCGATGCATCCGATGTGTTCACAAACCTGTGAGTTTGTTGAATCTGTTGCACCGTATCCCAAAACCTGCACGGAGAAGTTGAACCAGTGTGGATGCCATAAGAAGTGCCCAAGAGGTGTCCCAGAGGCAACACAAAGCTGCTTGCATGATTTGTTTGGTTTCTTCTATCGATGTCGATGTCATGAACCTGTGAGCTTGTTGAATCTGTTGCACCGTATCCCGGAGGAGTTAAGCAAAGTGGATGCCATAAGAGATGCCAGAGAGGTGTCCCAGAGGCGTCCAAGGGGGGAGTTGAACCCA